GCTGAATTATGTTATCGCGAAGCATGTCCCCAACCGCCTCTTTGATCTGGGTGCGTTCGGGTGCGCCCACTCGGTATGCAGGGAGTTTGATGGGTCGGGCTGCACCGGTGTCAATTTGGTGCTTAACAAGGTCGGTCCGACCAACGTCCGAGTCGTGTTCGCTGAACACGTCGGCATACTCTCGCAGTAACTCGCGCAGCCGATCGGCCTCTCCCTTAGGTAAGTCCGCCCATGGTACATGTAACGCGTCGAGCAGGGGAACGACCTCGGCTCGGGGAGTCGGGCCGACTCGCCAGGCCAGGTCTGCTCACCCTCAGGACGACCGGGGTCCTCAGCCCAGAGTGCGAACACCGAGTCGTTAGAGTGGCGTGCGTGCAGGGGGTGTACTGTGGCTATCGGGGTGCGCCGTCGCAGAATCGCTGGGGTATTGTGGGGGTTAAACATCCGCATAAACAATCGGTCCCCATCTGCGTTTAACAACGTGGCGGATCCCACAACCCCATACCGTTTTGCCAACTCCGGGTGAGGAGTTAGCATTACCTCCCCTGATGGTCGGAGCGCGGGGTCGGTGGGGGATGTTGCCACCGGCACCAGCATCTCGGTGAGCGGGCCGATGGTGACTGCCGTCGCCAGGATAGCGGCCACAGGTGCAAAGCGGAGGCGCGTTGGTTCTCGTCCCAGGAACGGTATCCGCTCGCGTTGCTCTCCACGGTGGCGCATCGCTGGCGGGGTTGCACGTTGAGTCCCAACCGTTCTAGGAGGTCGGTGCCTGCGATACACTCGTGACACAACGCACTCGACACGTAGAACTCCTGCGTGCACACCTGGCTGCCTATGCGGACCTCTAGGGTGGCTCTCCCCAGCAGCCCCATTCCGGCTCCGCTCGCAGTGTGCAGCGCGCGGTCCGGGGCCTGCAGGTGACGCACGTCGACCCCGATCGCGCTGCAGTGCGCTGCGCTCACGAGTGAGGCCACCGCCCCCGTGTCCAACAGGATTCGGGTACGCACTCCGTTAACCTCCCCTTCCACCAGCGACGTGGCTCCCGTGATCCCCGCCACCAGCTCCCGTAGCCAGTCGCCAGGAGTCACCGTTTCCGTGGGCGTTGTTGCTGGAACCTGTGTGGAGATCACTCGCTCGCCATTATTCTCATTATCGTCTATTTGTATCGGGACCGCGTCGATTGCACCCCTAGTTGGTCCGCTTTCTAGGGGGCGTTGGAGTTTAACCCCCGCATCTGCCTCGCTCGGGTGATTTCAGGACAGTCTCTCACTAAATGCCCTCGGCGATCGCACATACAACATGCCCGAGGAGGGGGGGCGGCTCCATAGTGGGCCCCCTGCCCACTCCCTCCCCCCCCATTACGCCGCTGTCCACCCTCCGCCTCTAGTCGGGCTACCCTTCCAGATAACCCCCCTACCGTGGCGCGTAGGTCCCCCATTTCGGATCGGATGGTCTCAACGGAGGATTGCAGTTTGGTCATATTTTTATTCGTTTCCTCGCGTACCTGGGTTACCCTCTCACCTACGTGGGTTACCTTACCGTCCATTCGGTCTACCCGGCCAGCAATATCTCCAATGCTGGTCTGTAACCCGGCTACCCACCCCGGGGTCGTCTCGCTGGGTCTCTGTGGCTCTCTTTCCCGGCCCCTTACCGTCCTCGCGAGCTCCTGTTCCTCCTCCTCGTCTTCCGAGAGCAGGCTCGCAATGGCGCGCTCTCGTCCCAGCCCCCGGAGCTGCGCGCGTTCGCTGTGAATTCTTTCACACTTACGTGCGCGCTCGACAAGGGCGTTAAAGGGAAGACGTGGGCAGCTCATGTCTGGCTGCCACCACGCCGTGCGAGACAGGTACCGCTGGATTTTCTCGGCGGCCAGTTCCTCAATAACATCAGTTGCGTACCCCGGGCGTGCGATCTTTGTTAACTCGCGCACATCCTCGGCGTAATCACGTAGATCTTCGCCAGGTTGGCGACAGCGCGCCTCTAAGACCGATTTTGCTTCCTCCTCGTCATGCGTGCCAAAACGCTGATCGAGTCGGCGCATCAGCTCCTCTAGCTGTGTCTGTGCACTCGCGGGTAACGCTTCTACAAAATCGGCTGCCCGCCCATCAAGATTCATATTAAGTTGACGTACTGCCTGCGCGTCCGTCCATCCATTAATTTCCTTGGCCCCTAAGAGATTGCGGGCGAATGCCTTCCACGAAGGGGCCCCCCGGCCGGTAAATATTAGTCTTATTTTAGCGTGAGGTAACGTGGGGGTCCGTACCGCTTCTGACACCAATTTGTGAGGGTCGCTGGCCCCCGAGATCCCTCCCTCTGTACCGCTAACGGCCGTGTTAACCTCATTATTAACCTCATTACTCGCCCCCTCGCTACTAGGCGAACCGCTGTTGGGTTCTTCACCCATGGGGTGAGAGCCGTCGCTCGAGGATTCCCCTCCCCAGCGGGTCCGCGTAATAGGCATGGTTAATTACGTACGCGCACACCCACACACAGCTCTGCGCGGCACTCACTCAATACAGACCCCTCACGTTAGGATCGCGCACCTGTATTATACACGTAGTGAACGTGCGCGCACACACGCATACAGCTCCACACGCGATACCCACTCTTGCGCCGCTCTGGGCAGCGCTCGCCGCCTGCTGGCCGCTTACGTTATGATCGCGCACCTGGGGTACGCCGATTACGCACGCCGCGAGCTTACGCACACACAGTACCACACGCGTTCCCACACGCTCACACTGCACGACAAGATCACGCGAGACCACGCTTCGATATTAATGATTTATTACCTGGTAACTAATGTTGAATCAGTGAGTCGACGAGGCTGGCCTATTCCACTAAACCGGCACCTATTCCCTATTTATCGGCTATTATCCTACTTCACCTCCCCACTCACTGTTTGGCGCCCGCGGAGGTTCGCTGCTCCCTGCGCTAACAACGTACCTCGATGCGTCTCACGGACGTCCGGGTCGCTGGCTGGAGCTGCTGCTGATCCGCTGGCCTGGAGAGAAGAGAGCGATTTCCCCTCTGCGCTCCTCTATTTATCCTCCCTACCTCAAAGGGGATGCTGCGCTGAACAATGGGATCGTGCACGCCGAGCCCGCGCACGGCGGTTCCGGGCGCTTTTGATCTGCTAATCAGTGAGCGGCGTTGGCGGCGTACATCCTAATTACTCCCTTACCCTTCCTAACAATGGGGCCTGCGCGCTCAAGCGTAATTATGCCGTCCCTCCGCTGCCGGTGCGGGGGTGCCTGATTATGCAGTTCAGATGCGCTGCGTGTTTTCTAATGATGCTCCTCCATCACAATGCTTATTCCCTCTGCCTGCCCCGTCGATACTGGCGTGTGTGGGGGGAAATGCGCCTCAACCGCCGTGGCCGAATGCCCCACGCCGCGACCACACCATATTAAGGCCGGTCGCAGCGCCGCGGCGCAACGTAGCACGGGGGAGGTCATCCAATTCCCTGATCGCCGGAAACCGTGAGAGTTGATCCCGATAAGGGTTTCTCGGATAAAAACCGGTCGGCCAGGCGACCTCCCCTCGGAGCTCTATGGGGGGGGGGGGGGGGGAAATGAGTGCGGGTGTGTTCATGTGAGGTGAGGTGAGGGAGACAAGGGGTCGGCTCCGTTGCTTGGTGGTGGCGAGGTCGGAGATTTGGCGCCTGCCGAACGGCTTCGTGGCGGCGGCATCACACTGTAGTCACTGCACGTCATGCAGATCCAGTCTCCGCACGAGGTCGGCTAATGGCCGCCAGAGTAGCGTCGAGGTGAGTTTCCTGGAGGAGAGTCACATCTGCTTTGTGTTCCCTGACAAAGTGGCAGATCTGGTCCCACCTCTTGTCACTGCGAGCGCTATTACAGTTCAGACTAGCAACCTTAATAGCTGAAGCCATCATGTAGTTGTGTGGTGGTGGCAGTGTTAACGGTAGTTGCCGGTGGCTGGGTTAATTAAGTAAGCTCCTTCTACGCCTTACGCATGAACGCTTTTAGGAGGTAGTATTCCTGAGTCGAGAAAACAAACCTGTTGCTGTTGCGGCAGATTTGTTGGGACGCTTTGAGGAAAGTGGTGAGGTCAGGGAAAATGGCCCCAACCCTATCTTGACGCTTCCTGAAAGTTTTCCTGAGGAAGTTGTGGATGTTCCCAGGTGAGTAATCGCACTCGCTATTGACTTGTGAGTAGCTGAGTCACTCACATTGTCCTCTCCTTCAGTCTCCGACACCTCATCGTCCGAGTCCTCCAGCTCGTCAAACTGTGACTCGGCAGAAACCTCATTTGCCTTTGGTGATGGCAGGGCCCCATCGTGAAGAATGTGGCTGCCCTCTGGTAGTGGAGGTTCTTTTGCTCTTCCTTCGGGTGAGGTGAGCCGGCCTTCGTCGCCTTCCTGCAGTGTGGCGCCAATCAGGCGCCGCACCGGCTCGTGGTTCCTCTTGCCCTGAGGATGCTGAGGCAGCATGCGGCGGTGTCAGCGAGGATGTTGGCGGCACTTGTCCCACCGTGCTGTCCTCAGGCGAGTCGCCATCGACTTTTGGATCGGGCTCGTGATCGGCGGTGGCCGTGCGCGTAGGATTAGGGGCGCGTGGCCTCCTCCGCCGTGGCCGGGCCTTACCCTGCGCTTGCTGGAGGTGACGAGGGTGAAGCCCTCGCCATCCTCGTCGTCGGTGGGCGGCTTTGGCTGCTGCTGCTTAGGCTGCAGTTGCTGCAGCTGCTGCTGCGGCTGCTGCTGTTGGCGCTGTTGCTGCTGCTGCGTGACGTTTGTTGCAGGCTGCGAGTTTTTTCCTTTTGGTTTGCCCGTGCAATTTGCACGGGCATGGCTGAAGCCACCGCACACGTAGCAGCGTGGCAACGCGGTAGACAAGTACACGGTGTAGCCTTCCGATGTGTACTTAAAGTTCACGTTAAGTTCCGTGTTGTTGACGTTTACGGGCTACACGGGGGGTCTTTGTGTTGTATTGTGTGAGATGATATATAACGAGCACCCGGTTATAGAAAGTGATCACATTTTATTAATGTACAGTACCGCATAAGACAACGCACGTTAGCTGTATGTATCAGCAACATCTTGTTATTGCAAAGGACTTGTCAATAACCTGACTCGATTTACAATATTTATAATTCAGAAGGAATCTGATGAGCTCTACAGCTGTTTTTTCACAGATAAAACTACTATTTATTAAAAACGGAGGACCCGGAGGAAAATCCACGCGACCACCATGGAGAGAGAGAGAGAGACACACAAACTCCAAATATACAGCAGCAGGCATCGTCAGGGTCAGGAATAAACCCACGATCTCCTATATACAAGGCGAGGTAGTTAACATCTCACCAGATGTCCAGTAGGGGCACAGGGTCAGAACATTACAATAACAAACACAATGCACACAAACACTGCACGTTCATATACCAATATTGATTTTAAGCTTTCGTGACTGCAGGAATCCATACTCTTTGGTTCTTTCGGTAAAGTCACGTCGGTACACAAAATATTCCATAAAAAATATTCCCTCATGAATGTTGGCGAGTGCCAATAATTACCTTGCTAGACTGTACCATAGCCATGTCACTCTAAATAATGTAAGGTAAATCTCACTTTTAGTTGAACACATTACTTCACAGTTATAAGCAAACAATCATAGATAACGACAAAAAAAACTAAATACATTTACTTTTTACCAGGTAAGGCCCCACTGAGCTGTGTAGCTTTTTTCAGAAGAAATCTGGCTACCACAAATGTTAGCTCAACGAACAGGCTAATATTATCACGTGGAAATTTATAACAGGAGCCAAATAATGCATGACGTTGATTATAAACGTGAACTGGGATAAAAATCCAACACGGGAAACTACAAATATAGAACAGCAGGCATCGTCAGGGTCCGGATGGAACCATCATCCTGCATACTAGGCGGAAGAGTTAACATCTCCTAGCCACCATGGTTAGTGCAGTGCGATAACCACTGCACCACAACTCATACATCATCATCATGATCCATGGACAGATAGCCCCGTCGTAGGAGGTGGTCCACTGCACATTTCATGATTTGTTTCCATACTCTCTGGGTCTTTCAGTAAAGTCACGTAGATAGAATAAAAGTATTATTATTTTATTTCGTGACGGCAGAAATTCATACTCTCTGGGTCTTTCGGTAAAGTCACGTAGATAGAATAAAAATATTATTATTCTATTTCGTGACGGCAGAAATTCATACTCTCTGGGTCTTTCGGTAAAGTCACGTAGATATAATAAAAATATTATTATTCTATTTCGTGACGGCAGAAATTCATACTCTCTGGGTCTTTCGGTAAAGTCAAGTAGATAGAATGAAAATATTATTATTATATTTCTCCGGGTCTTTCGGTAAAGTCACGTAGATAGAATAAAAATATTATTCTATTTACGTGACTTTACTGAAAGACCCAGAGAGTATGAATTTCTGCCGTCACGAAAGCTTTAAATCAAGATTTGTTGTTGCCAATTTCCTCTCTCTGTCCTGTAGTGTCAATCTGCTCAAGTAGTGGCCACATCTTTCTGGCACCAATCTCGTTATGATGTCGTCAAGCCATTCTCTGTTAGGTCTTCCTCTCTTTCTGGTTCCATCCATTAGAATTTCTCAAAGATGTCCTTTAGGTCTGGGTAACTTTCCCTGAGGTCCCACAGCGCCTCCCAAAATTGCTTGACCCTGGGTCGCCCTCTCGCCATCACCAACTCCACCATGTGCTGCGTCGCCTTCTCGCTGCCTTGCCGAGCTTGCATTCTTTTCACTTCCTGCGGGTGAACACATGACCGCAAGAAGCGACGTTCATAGCGGAATGACGTTTCTATAGCGATGGTGATACTTCAGAGCCACTTGCCAACAATACTCCAGAACCACTATGTTTGTGTTGTTTCAGCCGTGAAGCAACGTTAATGACAAAAGTTTGACTTGGTGCGCGTGATTGTGAAACACGTACAACAAGGTCCCATACGTTTAAAATTGGCTCCGTCAATCTGTAATACCTGTGGCTACAATAACTCGAGTAAAGATGATCCAATATGAACAAACACTTCTGGATAAATTTGATTTTGCTATTCGGAACTTACCCCTGCAGAATACTGGCCACATTGATCACAGGATTCCCCTAAAAAGTTGGAAACAAAACCAGCACTAAAAGGAATTACATCAGACACACGCATAGCACTCATTGCTGATAACTCTGATTTATCACTGTCAACCAATTCTGCAGTAGACTCAAAATGGGACATGTTCTGTAAAGCCTAGAAAGCATATCCATAGTGCTTTCGTGACAGTCGTACTCTTGCTCAAATTAAGACTCAGATTATCTCGTCGCCAAACGCCTGTCCCTGTCAATCTGGCGACCGTTCGACTTACTCCATGGAGACTGAAATGTAATCGTCGACTCTGCAATCACGGCTCTCATTGGTCTGGGCATTCGATCATCTCTCGATTTTGTTAATTTTACCAGCTTACCAGTCTTCTTGAGTTCGACTTTGGCATTGGAGAAATAGTCCTAAAATTAATCTCATCCTACGTGGCCGAGAGAGAACCACCTCTTCATAAAGGTGAATCCACATCCACTATCACAAAGGACTTGTGGAGGGACCCCAGGGATCCGTGCATGGGCCACTACTGTTTGATGTCTACACATCCCCCCATGCTGCCAACTTATTAATAGTTTCGGAATTAAATACCACTCCTATGCTGATGACATTGTATTATACACACCAATGAACCACACTAATGCTCAAGGAATTGAAAATCTCTCAGAGTGCACAACAGCCTCGCAGCACTGGTTTTGGTTGCATGATCTTTCTTTAAATGCAGCCAAATCTGAAGCCACACTCATTGGGAACAGACAGTGGCTCATGTCACCCTCTTTTCCGCTCAACATCACGATCACCGGCACCACAATTCCCCTTACGGACCGCATCAAATTCACTGGTGTCACTGGATTATTCCACCTTTTCTCTGGACATTCACGTCAACTACTCTTCGTCACCCACGACCAGTCATTAACATAAATATTGCGAACACCGTCACCTGCAGTTATAGGTCGGCCCTCACCTCGACTACTGCAATGTCGTTCCCTCCAAGTCATTATCAATCAACGTCTTCAAATTACAAGGTTTCAGAACAACCTTCCTCGTGTCGTCCTTGGTGTCCACTAACCCACGATTCGACTCGGCCACCGCTGTCCGTGCTCTTCATTGGCTCCCTTTCGCCAGCAAGGACAAATTATAATAATCACCTGCGTTTGTCATCACCCTTTCACCACCGGTTCCCCACCACCACACCTCGCCTCACAACTCTCGCCTTGCACTGAAGGCTCATGGTAGAACCCTACACAGCAGCATCGCTCCAAATCTTCTTTGGACATCAAAGGTCTCGAAATGTTACAGCCTCACGTCATGATACACACTACTAAATCTGGCGCATCATGTCATTATCATTATTTGGCCAATATTTTTAAATAATAATTAAAAGTCAGAGTGCATTTGATGTTGTGGATGTCCAATGGGACAGTGTTCCACACCGAGGCGGTGACAGCAGAGAGACTAACGCGAGGCGTTTTTAAGTTCGAGACCTCGATGTCCGAATACCAAATACCTCTTTATGAGATGATAAATGACGATTATGAATATGATGACGATGATCTTAGTGGACATACCCAGACACTGATGTCGGTGAGTATGTTCCTGATCTGTAGTTGGGAGAGCAGAGGTGTCAGGTCATCCCGCAGTGCCATGAGCAGCTCCCTCGTGTTGAAGCGGATTTTGTCCCGGAGGACAAAATCGCTGTAGCTGTTCAGAACCACGTGGGATTTAGAGATTCTCCTGAGGAAGCCTGCAGCACCAGAAAGGGGACACCGTTCACACTGATTCAGCCTTCAGGGGTGGACGAGAGAAGGTTGGAGTGCTCTTGGACAGCTGAACATAATGTTAGCACTCAAGAATATTTTATTCATAAGAGGTTTTTGGATTAGATTGCGTTAAAAGGAATATGTGTCGTTCAACCCGCCACCACCCGACAGCCAATTAGTAAGAATTGTGGATAAATCATATTTTTATCTTAAATCGAAGAGAGATACATGTGATGTCGTCACTTGTGAGCGAATCATGTGCGAGAACCGGGGGGGGGGGGTTAATATAGTCACATAAATGACCACGGATATCTATTATTGGTTTGATTATGCACAGTTAATCAACATACATAATGTATGTACTTCACGCGTGCATATTATTCATGCACACAATGTACATCCTGCCCTTTTTGGGTGCAAAAATCGCAATACCAGTTATTGGCTGCTCACAGCTAATCACCATCCATGTATGGTGATCTCTATAGGCATGCAGTTAAACAGTGTATCACTTAACAATGCACCTCCAAGCAGCATAACGCCTGTAGCTACGGGCTAAACGAAACATTGATATTCATGCAACCCCCCCCCAAAAAAAAACCTCCACTGTGGATACAAATTGGTCGCGAATGCCTATGACTACAACGTGTTAAACTAACAATAATAAAGTTCGGAAACGCAACACAAGCGATTACCCCGATCAACAGACAATTAACATTAACCGAGTTCCTGGCAGTCGATTAATTAATATTACATTTATGTAGAGGCCGACCGAAACTGAATTTCTAGTTTCGGCCAAAACCAAAACCAGACGGAAAGTAAAAAATTTACTTCCGGCCGAAACCAAAGCTGAAACCGAAAGTTTAACTACACTTTCAGCCGAAACCGAAGCCGAAACCGAAAGTTTATCTTCACTTTCAGCCGAAACCGAAGCCGAAACCGAAAGTTTAACTACACTTTCGACCAAGACCGAAACAGAAAGGTATATAACCGAAGTTACCGAACACAAGATTTATGAAATACGAGCTTTACTACCCGGCTTTGCCCGGGACTTGGATTCACCACGGCCGGCTGCCTTTGTCTCCCCAGTGGCGATGTTGACATACCACACCACTTACTAGTTTGAGACTGAGTCGACCTAGGGGAGGCCCAGACCCGGTTCAAATAATCGTCACCGGCCGGGAGCGGGAATCGAACTCTGGACGCCGGGTTCATAGCGCAACGTGCGAATCGCTACGGAGTCGCTGCCCCGCCCCCGACACACACAGGCTAAAGAAAAAGCTTGTTTACTACCAAGGCCTTCCAGCCACTCCTTGACTCCAGGATACTCGTACTGCACGGCTTGCAGAGCAAACAGAAGCTTGAGGCAGTCATCGTTCCCTCTCTCTATGAAGTATTTGAGTAGCAGCTCCGCGCACTCCGCGCCATCCCGGATGCCCTTGGCTTTAGTGAAGAGCTCGTTCGGGATTCGCCCTCGGCTCATCAGCTGCAGCAGAAGATGCTTGGGGTCTCTGGCAATCCACAGCTTCAGATCCGACTCCTTATCTCGAATGGCCCTCAATGCCTCGCCTGCAGTCAACAGAGGTTCATATGAATATCTTTTAACACATTTCATAAATGTTAAATACTATTGAGCTACAGTTGTGCTTCTGGAATCAAGGCACAACAAATAACATATTTAAGTTCACACGTAACGTGTTGTTGTTCAGTCACGCAGCATGGCGTCATTCTTGTGCGGCTTTAAACGGAGAGTTATAGTCGCTAATTACTTCCCCCCGAGGACGAGCTCGTGTTGGAAAGCATTACAAAAGCAATGCATATCCATATTTTTTCCCTCCTTGACTCTAATAAAATCCATTCAGTATCAATATACTGGTGGGAAACTACGGTGGCTAGATATTAACTACTTCGCCTTGTATACAGGAGGTCGTAGATTTGATCCCAACCCTGATGCCTTCTGCTGTATATTTGGAGTTTGCGGTGTCTCTCTCCCAGGGGCGGTTTCTTCATTAGGGCGATTGGGCGACGCACCACCAATGTCATTCAACCACAGAGTCACGCTAGCCGTCACTGTGCCTCTGGATATAGTCCAATCAGCGTCATGTCACGTTCTGTGGAGTACCGCCTCTTTTTGGGCGATTTCACTCCGGCTGAGAATAGCCCCGAGTGGCCCCATAGACTTACATTCAAATATGTTTTTTTTCGAACGGGGGGCGCTGCAATGCATTCTCTATGGCTTCCAGGAGGGCTTGCCCTAACGTGCTTACGTCATCATACGTAAGCACGTTTCATCCAACAATATAATTTGTCGCCACCTAGTGGAATCTTTAATAAAAGAAACTTGAGTGGATTGTATTAATAGTGAGTATAGAAACAAACAAGATGTATTGTAAGAGTCACTTTATGTTTAATTAATATTAAAGAAGTGAAGTTGCCTTTACATGCTTAAGCTGTTAATTTATCCATTGCATGGGTGGACCTTATCCTTATCAATCATCCAGACATTTGCCCCCTCTGAGAGATTTTGCAGGAGCCGCCACTGCTCTCTCCCCGTGGTAGTGTGGATTTTTCTCCATATCCTCTGGTTTCCCCCTCCACATTTAGAGGATTTGACTGCTTATATACACTTCCACGTGATCTATCACATGTGAAAGCCGCTACTACATTGCTCAGTTGGGCTTTACCTGGTAAAATAAAAAAATAGTTTCGTTTTAGAATGGGTTTCGATGAGTATGGGTCTCTGTGGGTCTCTATGGTTCTATTTTGGCCTCCGGATCTCTGTAGGCCTCTGAGTATGGATCTCTATGAGTGAGTCTGTAGAATCAGCATCACATGTTTAGAGTATTTGGCTGCGGCTATACATTTCTACGTGATGATGATGATCTCAGCTACTTCGTTGAGCTGCTATCAAATAAAGAGACACATAGCTCAGTGGGGGCCCTTGCACCTGGTAATATAAAAATTGTTTAGTCGTAGTTTTTTTGTGGTGCGTTTACGTGGGTCGTACCGTGTTTCTGAATCCACTTCCACAGCTGCACGTATTGCTTCCTCACAGAGTAGAGGGCGTCCCACAGTTTCTCACAGCCCGACTCTCCCTGGCAGATGCAGTGGTCCAGTACGAGCTCCACACTCTCCTCTCCGCCCTTGTCGACAGCCGCTTTATGAACATGCCGTGGTATCAAATTGAGGCCGTTGAGATGCTCCAGGAAAGCCGAGGGATCCGTTCCGATCCAGGTCTTAAGATTCTCTTTGTTCTCTTGGATGAGTTGCATTGTCTCGCTGCTCTCATTGCTCCTCTGTAGCGTGTGGAGAAGACACGGTTACAATTATTTATGTGTTTGTGGGATAGAGTCTTCACTGTACTGGTATGTACGCATACACCATGAAACAATGTAGAGTATGGTCATCATGCCACCATGCTGTGTTGAGTTTACCTGAACTCCATATGACACCTTGTGTTCATTTCGCATTATATGAACAAGCGGTAGATTTTCCTCATGCTCATAATTTGTAGGAGGAGTGTCTGAAAAAAATCCGATATAATTAGGTTATCACTGATTCATAGCATAGTTGATATGGTTGTATCATTTTTTTATAGGTCCAAAACGAAAAATTATTCTATAATTGGACACATAATACTAAACACGGTGATATTAGAGTCATAAAGAACATTTACATTATTTATACTCTGTGTCTATGTTGTGTGTCTCTCTCTGTGTGTCTCTGTGTTGTCTCTCTTTCTGCTTGTGTGTCTGTGTGTCTCCGTGTCTGTGTTTTGTCTCGCTCTCAAATTTTGCAATCTTTGGAAGAACATAATCAACCAGGTAGGGTGTTGACTGTTGTGTTAGCCGACTCTCTGTGTTGTATTGCATTGTATTTCTAAGTTCACTAGGTTTATTTTCTACCTGATGACGATTGCTTGTGTTGCAATAGAAATGTCGTATTCTATTATATGATACATTTTCTTTCTACGTGACTTTACCGAAAGAACCAAAGAGTAATTATTTATATTGTTTAGGATTGGACAGACATTAACTGGAATGTAAAGTTTCATAATTGCATTTTCAAGATGAAAATGTCATCACCTGCGGCCAAAGACCAGGAACAGACAGTTTAACGATCGTTTTTTATTCCGTCCCAATCCTATTGCGATGCCCCTCCGAACCTCGATAATTGTCCACTTCCTCTCTTTGTCACAAGAGCGGTAAGCACACAACGAAGTAACGACGGCAATTCAATTGAGCGTCCTGTCCAACACGACTTTATGCGAGTGAGAAATATTGTTGGATGAGTTGAGGCATGGCAGAGATGAGCGTCACCAGCAGAAACACTCTCCATAGGGACTATTTCAAATGACACCAAAGGCAAGCTCTCTCAAGGTATGTAACTCATTTTCATCATTTTGTGCAGTGGTGTCTGCAGAGAGCATTCAGAGGCGGTTCGTGCCGAGACGTGATTTCTCCACACATTTTAATTCACATATGAGAGTAAAAATAAATTTTGGTAGACGTATCATTTCATCCCGAATACCAGGATGAGATCTTTGGATTAAGCACGGAACATTACCACTTACCGGATCGCTTCAACATACTTTTAAAAGTAAACCCCTTCTGCTTCATGTTGAGGTAAACTATGAGCAACACGAGTGCAGTCAGGACGAAGATGAGGACTGCTGCCAACACGACTGACGTGGCGTCTGAATATTTTATAAAGGAGACAAACAACAACAAGCTATCAACAGCAGTCCTCTCTCCGCCTACTTGTCAGGTCTATGTGATACGTTGCAATGTATACGAATGCAGTACGTTGTATTAACGCAACCTCTATCAAAATAAAACCATAAAATCATTGCTCTTTGCATAATTTCTACAGTTTTTTCTAAAAAGTCGACCCCTTCAGTTTCATGTTTAAGTAAAATATGTGCAACAGGAGTGCAGTCAGGACGAAGCCGAAGATTGTTACCAACACGACTACTGTGGTGTCTGAAATTTTATGAAGGAGAAAAAACTAACAAGCTGTCAACAGCAGTCCCCTCTTCGCCTAATTGTCTGGTCTCTATGATGCATTGCAATGCATGGGAATCCAGACCTCTATCAAACCATACAATAATTGCTCTTTGCATTATTTCTATAGTTTGTTTAGCACAACAATATTTTGAAGGCGTTTTTTCACAGATTATCATTTGCAGCAGTTTGACAGCTGTTGGCGATATTTTTTGATAATTTGCCTTCCCCCAAGAACGAACTTTGCAGGTAATTTTCACATTTGAACCGCGATACCAGAACACATGGCCTTCTATTTCCAAATAAGGTTACCAGACCTCTATCATTCACCATGAAGCAGATGGTGCATTTTATTTTGTTGAATGCACCAGCAGAATCAACTAGGGTAGGCGTTGGGCTTAAACCACAAACCTCTGAAATGAGAAGTAAACGTGCTACTACCCAGTGTGAAGATTTGGAATCAAGAGGACTCCAGCCTAAAATCCTGTTTAGAGACAATAAATATTAGGTTTTCAGTATTGCACAGGGAAGTGAACTGATAACATCACACGTGGCTGTGCTTAAACATGCATGCAGTCCCTGAAGCCTGCAATAGACATAAGGTTGAGTTTCAATTCGTGCTTCTACTGCAGACAGCTTCTGCTGTTTCAGTTGTCAGGTTGTCCCTGTCAGCGGAGAAACAAAACAGCTTACATGGGTATGGCTCCTCAGGCAGGCAAATTCCCGAATCGCCGTCCCTCTTCAGCCCCTCCGTGCACCTACACACGGTGTCCTGTGCCAAGGAGCAGTTAACAACCACCTGCTCACCTGCAATGAGAAAGTTTATCAGTCTCAACGAAGATAGTTGTCTACGTACAGTGCGAAAGTTCAACAACATACACACACAAAGACCCACAGATACCCAGACCCATACAGACCCACAGAGACCCACAGATTAGCACGGTTGGCTACAAATAGTGCGAAAGTTCAACAAACATACATGCACAGAGACACACAGACACCCAGACCCATAAAGACTCTGTGATGCCGCCGCCACGAAGCCGTTCGGCAGGCGCCCAAATCCCCGACCTCGCCACCACCAAGCAACGGAGCCAACCCCGCGTCCCCCTCACCTCACCTCACATGAACACACCCGCACGCATTTTCCCCCACCCATAGAGCTGGAAGGGGAGGTTACCTGGCCGACCGGTTTTTATCCGAGAAACCCTTATCGGGGTTAACTCTCACGGTTTCCGGCGATCAGGGAATTGGATGACCTCCCCCGTGCTACGTGGCACCGCGGCGCTGCGACCAGCCTTAATATGGTGTGGTCGCGGCATGGGGCATTCGGCCACCGCAGTTGAGGCGCATTTCCCCCCACACACACCCCCACGGGTCGACGGGGCAAGCAGGGGAGGGACGGGACAGCATGAATAGCGGGACCGCAGGAGCTGTTGCGCATAGTCATGGAGGGTTGGGATAATTACGCTTGAGCGCGCAGGCCCCATTGTTAGGAAGGGTAAGGGAGTAATTAGGATGTACGCCGCCAACGCAGCTCACTGATTAGCAGATCAAAAGCACCCGGAACCGCCGTGCGCGGGCTCGAGGTGCACGAGCCCATTGTTCAGCGCAGCATCCCCTTTGAGGTAGGGAGGATAAATAGAGGGGCGCAGAGGGGAAATCGCTCTCTTACTCCAGCGCCAGGCGACCAGACGCAGCTCCAGCCAGCGACCCGGATGTCCGTGTGACGCACCGAGGCACGCGGTTAGCACAAGGATCAGGGGACCGCCGTAGACACTTAACAGTGAGTAGGAAGGTGAATTAGAATCATAGCAGATAAATCGGGAATAGGTATAGAGGTATCAGCGTAGGCCAGCCTCGTCGACTCACTGATTTAATATCTAGTTCCAGGTAGCGGATAATAAATCATTAATAGCTGATCGTGGCCTCGTGTGATCTCGTGTTATAAGTGTGAACGCGTGTGGTACGGTGTATGCGTAAGCTCTCGGCGTGCGTAATCGGCGTACCCCAGGTGCGCGATCATAACGTGAGCGGCCAGCGCGGCGCAGAGCGGCGCAAGTGTGGGTATCGCGTGTGGAGCTGTATGTGTGTGCGCGCACGTTCACGACGTGTATAATACAGGTGCGCGATCCTAACGCGAGTGGTCAGTGTTGAGTGAGTACCGCGCAGAGCTGTGTGTGGGAGTGCACATACGTTCGTTACATGTCGGATACGGATGCGCATTGGTAACGTGCCGCACAGGGCTATACTGCGAGCACGGCGTTTGATTGATGATGATGTGCGCACGTATGCTCGCAGCGTGGGAGCGCTGCGCGAGGCTGTAATAGTAGGGGTGTCGCGTTCGAATGCCGGTGAAACCGTAGCGGGTAATAGGGAGGTGGGGTAACGTAAACGGAATAGGGGATGCAGGCGGGAGGGACCTCGGGGGCCAACGGCCCCCACAACTCACAGAGACACACAAATTAGCACAGTTGGTTCTGTATTGTGAGAACGAAGTTAAACATGTATTCATAATAAGGGTTTCGGGTTAGATCGCGCAAGTATAAATGTGTCTTAACCCTGCGCCGCCTGACACAGCCAGTAAGGATTGTCACGTAAACAACGCGCCAATTAGTTTCTAGTATAGTAGTGTGTAGTGTAGTGGGTAGTGTAGTTTACTACTTCAGCCCACCGGTGTCTTGGCAAGTAAATCCACAACATTTACAAATTGAGTACCGTGCCGTTTCGCTGGTAATTGCATCAACCAGCATCATCGGGCGATTTGCCAGAATAGTGAAGAAAACCACCTGCTTCTGCTCTTAAATAGAGCAAGATGACGCCATCACTGTGAACCCATCAGGTGCAGAGGTCAGAGGCGGTGGAGGGGGTTTATTGTAATTATATAATACAATTTTTATCAGTTAATTAGCATGTGTTTCCTCAATAAGGACTACAGATGTATGATGTATTACTTAATAATATGCTTCCAGGACTCACTAAGCTTGTAGCTGTTACGGCAGTGAAAATTATTTTGTACTTCTCTCAATTCCAGTAGATTCTCGAATCAGTCTCGGCCGGTAATAATTAGCCGACAGTTGTGTTTGTGAGTTTTTCATATTTATTTGGTGTTCTTTTAGTCTTACGCTAATGTTACGTCCCGTATGTCCAATATAGCATCTGCCACTTAAGCAATTTATCAGATACCTTCTGTTGATAAGTTAGGCAATTCATCTTAAGTACAAGATACAAGTGCTCGTACTTCACAGTTTTCCATGTACAGATTCGCAATATCAGGAGACAAAGGAGAGACCATTTCTGTGACTTCCTTTTGTTTAAATAAATTACCTCTGCATAAGAAATAAGTGTTGTTTAGACAATGGTCAGCTAGCTTTGGAATATATTTTGGTAAACCTGTCTTATTTACTAGCGTATCTAGTAATATAATTGACTCGTTAACCAGAACCTTCGTAAATGGAGAAATTACATCAAAGTTTACGAGAATATCATTAGGGTTAAGTTGAATATCTTTAATCAATTTCACAAGATGTTTTCAATTTCTTATGAATTAAGATGTCCTTCCGATGTGGGGCTGTATTTGTTTTGTTACACATTTTGCAAAAAATCTTTGTGGCAGAGCCTATTGTACTTATTACGGGTCTTAATGGGACACCAATTTTATGAATTTGGTTAAGTCAAGCTTGTCTTGGTAACCCGTTTAATACAATTTCTCCATTAATAATCTATTATATAATTACAATAAACACTCCCTCGTCCACCTCTGATCTCTACACCTGATGGGTTCATCTTCTTGGTTCTTTCGGTAAAGTCACGTAGAAGGGACAGACCTGGTTTTCATCTGAAGACAGCTGCTTGCGTTGTGGCCGAAACGGCGTGAGAATTATTTTATTATGTTTTATTTTTATTATTTTATTACTTCCCTTCTACGTGACTTTACCGAAAGAACCAAGAAGATGAATCCCTGCAGTCACAAAAGCTTTAAATCGAAACCTGATGGGTTCACAATGATAATGTAGCGTCGGAAATACGTATGCACACACCGCCTATGCGCACTTGCCTGCAAGTACAGCCAGCGGTCTGTAGGGGGTGCCAGCCTGTACAAGGGGATAGAGAGCCGGACCATAGAGAGGCTGGGTTCCCCTCCCCTACCCTAGGTGAGGGTTTGGGGGGGGGGGCTTTCCAGGATCCCCTGGAAGGTTCCAGAAAGGGGGCGGTACCGGGGGGCGGAGAGTCCTCGGGGTGTGTATAAAAGGCGGCTCTCAGCTCGGCTCGAGGCAGTGCTACGAAGACGAAGACTGAAGACCAGCTCAGCTAGGACCCTGGGACCACGGGACCCGACGTCCTTGTAAGAGCCGAGACCGAGCGCTGACCAGTGGTCAGGACCCGTACTTTGGCTGGGTCGGGTCAGTCAGTCTCCCCTAAGTCACCCCTAGCCAGAGGGCTCTAGATTACCACGAGTGATAGGGCACATTAGCCCAGAGGCTGTACCTCCTTAGTGAGCGGGGTAAAGGGGTACCGTGTTACATTGTTATAATAAAAAATGTTGCCTCCAAGTTAAGTCGCAAGTCTCCTGGAACCCACTACAATAACATCATCTTGCTCTATTTAAGACTGGAAGCAGGTGGATTGCTGCACTATTCTGGCAAATCACCTGATGATGCTGGTTGATGTAATTACCAGCGAAACGTGACAGTACTCAAGTTGTAAATGTTGTGGCTTTACTCCAACACACTGGTGGGATGAAGTCGTTAGTAATTGGCACGTTGTTTACGTGACACAACTTACTGGCTGTGTTGGGTGTTGGAGGGTTTCGACACATTTATGGTTACGTGATCTATGTGTAATACGTATATTTGATGAATTTGGGAGACACAATTAACATCACATGTGTACATGAGGTGAAACATTTTGTCGCTGTATTGTGCCAAATCTCCCTAGGAATTTTTTTATTTTTCAAAATAATTGCTCCCACAATGTACAGTATTTTAATAGTTTGAATTGCTTGATCAGTTTCAATGCTTGCGCTGTTTTGTTTTGTTTTTGCATCCAGTGCCCTGTTAATTTGTGCATCATTATATCCTTTCAATTGCAGTGCTTCTTTAATATGTTTAACCTGACCACTCAGACTATCACCATCTGACACTTTTTTAGCCCGATGTATGAGTTTCTTGATGAGAGAGGATTGTATGACTCTGCATTCAAATAGGTATCCGTGTATGTTTTCTTTGTAACTGATAAACTAGCCAGATTTTTTAAAAACGAAAATCAGGTGCTATCAACAGAAGGTTTGTACCAGATTAATTGCTCCTCTGGCAAATGTTATGTTGGTCAGACAGGACAAATAATTTGCATGAGACTAAAAGAACACCAAAGGAATATTCAATACTTCAGGAGCGGCAGAACACGCATGTTAACAAGAAAAGTCAATTGATGTTGAAATTATTGAAGTTCTGTGCAAAACTAGTTACTACTGGCCACAACTAATTGGATGATTTTTTGAAATTGAGAGAGATAAAATAATATAACCATTCTGATAGCTACAGGTGCACTGCTGCCTGGGAGTGAACAATCAAGTAATACCACTGCACTGTTTAACTGCATGCCTATACAGGTCAATGGAGATTTACTGGGAGCATCAATAACAGGTATTACAATTTCTTGGACCCAAAAGTGGTAGGATGTACATATGTGGTGTACATACATAATGTGCATGCATAATGTATATGCATTGCACATGCGTGTTGTGCATGTACATTATGTAAGTTGATAACCCTATGAATAATCAACCCGATAATGGGTTTTGCATTGCGGTTTATACGATACATTAACCCCCTCCCCCCCCCCCCCCCCCATTTTCGCACCTTTTTGGCTTACAAGTGAGGACATTACACGCCACCGAAGACCGACACAGGAGGGTTTCTCCGTAACTTTGGCTGTTGCATGATGCTACTGGTTGTAATTACTGGCGAAACATCATGGTACTCTAATTGTAAATGTTGTAGTGGGTTTACTCTCCAACAAAACAGTGTGCTGGACTAGTAACTAACTGTTATGTTTTGCTTATGAGACAAGCCTTATGAATTGGCTGTGTGGGGTGGTGGCCGGTTTACTACACATTATTATTCACGTGATCTAACGCAAAAATCTATATTATGGATACGTACATGCACACGACTATATACTACACTATACACTACACTATAAACAACACTATACACAACCTACGATTAGTAGGTTTGGCTACGAATGGTGCAAAATAAGTGCAATGTACATACATACACACTACACTACTATACACTACACTGTGCACAATCTATGATTAGCACGGTAGGCTATGTATAGTGCAAAGCAAGATTAACATTCATGCAATATCCTGGATTTTAATCTGAATTGCAGCTGCCTGTGATTAAACCGAGTTGATGTTAAGTAGCTGTACCAAAAAAACATTGTGTTATAATAGTTTTTTCAATTAATTTCAGAAAATTTCGAGCTCTGAGAAATACACATTTCAGGTTTAATTTTCACTTGTCTGTTAAAAGGACACAATTGACTAATGCTAGCATGAATAAATGAGCCTACTAATGGGACTTAAGATGTGGTTCGGTGATGTCATCTTCGGTGGCGTGTGAGAGTTCCCAGGCATTAGTTGTCTCTTGACAAGATCATGATTTGGACAATTGGAATATTTAGTTCGAGGTGGGGTTGTCTCTCTTTAAAAAAGTTTTGGTCAGTTGCTTATCTAGTTTTGTCTTTGCTTCATACCGGTTAAAATGGGAGTATCCAGAGGAACACCCACCCCGCATGCAAAATATAAATAACACACACAATGCAGATATGACAGTAACCTACTTGCTGTGTTGCCACTTACCTGAACCACAGATGCTGCACCACGAGCACTTCCCCTCCTGGTTGTCTCTGTCCATAAAAGTGCCCTTAGAGCACAGGTCACACAAAGCGCCCCTTCCATCAGATATGCAGTCCTTCACCTTGTACGTCCCTGAAGGACAACGAAGTGCGAGCAAGCAATGGAGTTGTTACAAACACACAGCGAACACAAGTTGGTTCAGAGAGACGCGAGCTGCACTGAGAGTCATCCAGTGTTAAGTTCTGTTCAGAGTACAGTTGCTTGACTAAAAACTAATTCCTCAGTATCGAATCACTTTTTGGAGCCTGATAATGATGAGGTCACGGGGTTAAAGCAAGGCCCAGTTGGGTTCCTTTATACAGGAGTAGTGCCTGTGACTTGGTGGGGACAGGAAGCACCCGGGTACTACACTTTGTCGTTGGGAGTCTCCGTGCCTTTGTGTTGCTTTTACCTGCAGGGCACAACTGGCAACATACTCCTTTTGGTGATTTGTAGAATCCATCTCTGCACTCCTTGGCGGCAGACGGCTCCTGCAGTGCACAACACACCTGCAGAGAAGGTTCACACAGAATGGAGTGCTTTAGGGTGACGTCGCCAAACGTCGCGATTCTGGTATCTGCGACAGTCCCGGTGCTTTCAAAAGGCTGTGCCACTGTTGTTTTCGTGACGCGTTTGTTAGCGTTGGTATTTTGTCCCGAATCCATACCTGGTGTTCAATAACACGGGTAAAATGGTCAGAGAATTGTCTTAAGACACACACACCTTGTATGTTGGAAAATGTCACATTCTGATGGCATTAGGTGGACCAATTTTCCAATTTGCGAGTTCAATTCCAAATCAGAGGTTGACCCAACCCAGCACTTTGTGAGAGGTTAAAATAATAGCTACGGTAGATCTTCGATTATCCAGGGGCTTCGGGGAGGAAGGGGGTGCCAGATTTTCAAAAACGCCAGATAATCACCAAATAATTATTTATTTGCACATTCTTCATCATGCTATATTTTCAGGTATTGTGCCTATTTGTTTGTGCTTTACATTTATATTCTTTGGTTATTTTAGTAAAGTCACGTAGATAGATAAAATAAAATAAAAATAAAGCAGAAACAACGACGTTTCGATGTGTTGCGATCGAAACGTCGTGGTTTCTGTTTTATTTTATTGTTTATTTTATCTATCTACTTGACTTTACCGAATGAACCAAAGAATATTAATTCTGCAGTCACGAAAGTTCAGTGAAAATTTACCTTACATTTGTTTACTATGTGAAATTGGCATTAATAAAACTACAAATAGACTAAAATAAACACATTTTTGGGGTCTTTTTGTAAAGTCGTGTAGATAGGTTCAAAGAAAATAACAAAAAACTACGACGTTTTACTACGATGTTTCGATCACAACACAAGCGATCGTCATCAGGAGGAAAAAAAGAGGGGGGAAGCTACTGAGGCAGACTTTTAAAGGTTTAAATGGGTGTAGCCCAAGGGTCATAAACGAAGTGGGCAGGGCTAGTGATGTTAATGTGAGAAATTAGCATGTAAATGTAAGATCGGAGAGCGGCCTCCACGAGGGCGTGGAGGTGGCTATGTTACTGTGAGAAATAAAGTATGTTCATGGCAGATCGCAGAGCAGCAACGTCGAGCTCAGCGAATGAGGTGGCTGTGTTAGTGTGGGAAATTTAACCTCTTAATGTGAACCTGGTAATTAAATAAACATCCTACTTTAAAACGTTACTGTATTTACTGTACCGTACTTACCACTACCAATCCCGACGACTGGGCATGGGGTAATGTACATACGTGCAGTATTTTCATGAAGTTGTATATAGTGTATAATGTAGTATATATACTATGTTACACGGAATAAAGCATAGTTACGTTTTTTTCACACACGCGGTGCCGATAGCCGGACTCGTTACATTCTTTGGGAGCAGTTTCGCCGGATAATGTTGGATAATGGCGCACCGAATAATTGATGATCGACTGCATTCTTAAAGTGCTCATAACAAGGGGAACATTTTTAGAGGTTTTTTTAGTGTGTCTATGAGCGTGGCCTGGCATTGTTGTGTAATAAAAGACTCCGTCAGGCACTGCTGGTCTCCGCTTGTCTTTTATTTAGGTTCTTCTCCGCACCCCCCACTGGCCTCCTCTCTGACCAGTGTCGTCTCGCGCGCGCCCCGCGCACGCTCCCTCTCGCGTGTCACGCACGCTCTCTCTCTCGCGTGCTCCGCACGCTCCCCCGTTAGCTCCTCTATTCCCGCACTCCGCACACCGCTCGTCGACGGCGTGCTGAGGTCCTTCGGCCACGTGGCCGATGGCGCGGATCTTTCCTCACCACCCAACGTGGCTCAGCCTCTTAACTTCTCTGACTGCCCCGATCTCTTCTGGGCTCCCACTTATATACATTCCCCCCCACATGCCCCTACTCCTCCCCTTCCGGATCCTCAGATCCGGCCTTCCCATACTACTCCGCTGGCTCCGCCCCCATTCACTTCGCCTCCCATTGGAGCCGAGGTGAACGGTGGCCCCTCCCACACACCCCGCAGACCAAGCTCCGCCCCCCAATACCCCGGGCCGTGTGATTGGACCCGAGCCCAGCAACAACCCATTTATGCTCGCATTACAGTTGCATAGAGAGAGCGAGCGTGGAATTGACTGTCACGCCACAAAAACGAGGTGAAAATATTTCAGGAAAATTCGTGCCACTTCAAGGAAATGTTTACATATCCACTCAGAACCCCCCCCCCCCCGTCACTAACCCCTATCCACACTAACCCAAATGTTGCCTCTGCGACACATTGTGATTACTTTTACTGGCTCCAATAAGGAAGTATAGGTATTGTGCAATATTGTGTTGTTATTGCAGCAGCAGCATACTGGCTATTCACCCAGATGCGGGAGTCGGTTTTCACACAAGGTTGAGAGAAAAGAAAAACATCTATTCTATCCGTCCTACCGAGTCTAACAACTCGCAAAAGGGACTCGTCTCACGACCTCTGGCTTGGTTAAACACAAGGACGACGTTAATCAATCAAAGGGTTGAATGAATAGAATTGGGCTCTCAACTGATTGAACGGCATCAGTCAGTCCATCAATATCACCACCACTACCCACCATCCACCGCCCACAGAAAACCACAGGCTCTGACGGTTGGCTACGTACGGTGCAAAAGAAGTTTAACATACGTATATACACAGAGACCCACAGACACCAAGACCCATAAATACTCACAAAGACCCATAGAGACCCACAGATTAGCACGGTTCGCTACGTATAGTTGCAAAATAAGTTCAACATAATACATACACAGACACCCAGACTCATATAGACACCCATAAAGGTTAGCTTGGTTGGCTACGTACGGTGGTGCGAAAGAAGTCCAACATACACACGTACATACACGTCCCACCCAACACTTCCCCAGGGCTTTCAAACAACCACGCAGAAACGTGTACAAAATCACTCCGCCTTGTGCACATTACGCAAAAAAAATACCATCAGCAGTTTCCAAAGAACTGCATCGTGGTCCTCGTGTCTCAGTGTCACCAGAATTAGTTTTTTTCTTCCATTTGCAAGTAAATTTCGAATTGTAGCTACATTTGGACCGTGACGCTGGCACACAATGGCCTGCTCTTGTGAACGACGTCACGGGACGCCCATTACACATTGGGGTTGGTGACACACGCAGTCGCGAACGGGGCAGCCACTGGAAATCGAACCCGGATTTGTCTGCAACGCGGTGGCGAATGCGTTTACCACTGGAGGTCCATAACACCGCCGTCGATGGCGATACAAAAATAAAGGTTAGGGAAAACTCAGATTTTCATTTACCCCATGCTTGTGGTAAAGTGTAAAGAAGTCGGTTGGACTGGTTTCGACCCAGTGAGCGTGGCGGCGGATATGAGATGGATATGTGCGATATGAGGCCTGTTTCCTTAAGAATTTGAGGCACATTGTGCCATTTATAACCTCGTGTTTTTCACACCAATGTTGTTGTGTTAGCCTCTGTGATGTTGATTACGACTGTTTTAAAAAAATATGTACGAACCTCCCATTATCACGGTTGGCTACGTACTATGTGAAAGAAGTTCAATGTGCGTACATACAGAGAGACCCAGACCCATGAAGACCCACAGTGGCCCAAAAAATTATCAGGGCAGGTTAGGAGCACACACACTACTATACACTACACCAGTGGTTCTTAGCCTGGGGTGCACGCAGACCTGGGGGTGAGATGCCCTTTCTGGGGGTGCGAGACACGAACGGATTTTTTCATACGGTAAATCATCAAAACACAAATTTTGTTTTATAATGATTGAGAACCAAACGGTTACAAGGCTGCAGTGAAGGTTAAGAACCACTGCACTAAACGATACACGACACAACTATATACCACACCACTATGCGCTACACTACTATACACAGCCTCCGATTAGTACGGTTGGCTACGTACGGTGTGAAAGACGTTCAACATAGGAAGCTGTTGCCCCTTCCACGAAAGACGCCTGTGAGCGTGATTTCATTTATTGTGGAGAAGCTGTTGCACAGCAGCTTCCACACAGCAGCTTCTTGACACGACGGGACCACGAATCCAATGGCAAGGAGACCAAGGACGATTGGAGACGTCGTTCTGCTGAAGGCATCGTCCTGCCGTCACAACCGTTGAGATGTTAACATCCTCTTCTGCCTGCTCTCCCGTTGAGGACTTATTAACCCGTGGCTGGGGCCAGGTAGGCTTATTCTAATGGAGGTCTATAATCACAATGTCACAGCATCGTCAAAGGATATACTACACTACTATATACCACTGCTCTAGAGGAGTTGTACACACCTAGCTGCCAGTGCTATTCAGTGGCCTAAAATACAATGTTTCGCTCCGGATGATCGCTGCAAAGTATGACCTGTGTTTTGATTTAGTGTGCTGATCTTAAAGGTGCATTGAAAAATTATAATACTCCGATTGATGCTCCTGCTGTTGTGGAGTGACTCATGCAGCCAGCTATGGCTGCAGGGTTTTGGTAGTACATGTTGTTTATGTCATTTATTGTGAAAATTCCGTCACAGTTTCTATGATCACTGTTTCATTGCTTTCATGGCTTTATTTTGATGATTTCGAAAAGTGTATTGGTTTAGCCATGTTTGTTGTAGTACAGAGTAAGACTGATGGCCTTAATCTAAGTTGTCTTGTGTTTTTTGTTGTTGTTTGACTTGCATCCCACTGGGATTTTTGCACACAGCGTTGGTGTACGGTGTTTTTTCCTGCAATAGTTTGCTGTCTTTTCTTGGATTTTCTGTTTGCACTCAGTCACATATTCACTTTAAGATGTTTTTTGTTCATGTTTTTGTTTTTTGTTTGTTGCGGTTGCACCCGATTCAAGAGCCGAATGGTTCACAGGGCTATCTAACCTATATAATTCATTTTTTGTCCGTCCGTCCGTTCGTCCGTCCGCGTACGCTCCCTACCGGGGGATTTAGCTCTCGGACCGTGGGGTTCGGCGAGATTAAATTTTGCAGGTGGGCACGCCCCCGGCCCCGCGGTAAACTTAGGCATT